TTTGTGGTTTCATAGCTGAAAGCTGCCTAGTCTGAAAACTACTCAACGAAACTGGGGAAAATGTTCATAAAATTGTAATGATTTTGAGTAATAGAAATCTTCTTTAACATATACAACAAATTATTACTGAGTATGAACTTAAAAAAAATATAATAATGAGCTGTTTGAAGCATCTCTGTTTGATCTGGACATTTTGTTACATGAAATGTTATATAACAACTCATAAATATTCATTTGCCAACAGGAAAAAGCCTAAATTGGTTCAGATGGATGCACATGAATGGGGTTATCATTGGAGTGAATATCATCATGTATTGGAGTCAAAAAGGGCATGACTCAGGGCATCAGAATAGTCATGTATGAAAAGTCTATAGACTTAGGTTTTTAAGAAGTTATGGAAAGCATGCAGAACATGGTTTCTGGAATTCTTTTTAATCCTTTAATAACAGCTACACTAGGTCATGCAACTGGGAGGGAGGAAAGGTGGGGGGCTTAGAATGAAGGCTTGGGCAACATTCTGAGCTGTTACCAGCTGCTTCTCCTCTAGGGCAGTATTTCTCAATCTTGGCAACTTTAAGAGGTATGGATTTCAAGTCCCAGAGTTCCCAGCCAGCATTCTGGGAGTTGAAATCCACACATGTTAAAGTTGGCAAGATTGAGAAATACTGTTCTAGGAATACACTGGCATTGGAAAGGAGACTTTTCTCCTCTGCAGCCCCCAGGATCCAGCCCATTTTCAGACTCAGTCATTCTTTTGCCTGCGTCTTCCCCCATACCAAATTTGGTCCTGTTCTGTTCAGTTACAAAAGAATTATCATGCTAATAGACAGAGTCCCAACCTCTTTATTCTTTTCAATGATCTATAGGGTTGGAAAGTATAAACCCTATTAATGAGTTTTTGGATTTCCTTCTGGAATGCAGGGAAGCACATGTGATTTTTATATAGGACTCTATATTTTATATAGGCCTCTAAAACTATATTTTAATTGTTAAATTGGATATAAAGCACCCCAGTGAGAAGATGCTATCATGTAAAGAAAGGGAAGCAGGATTTGAAAGTTCTGGGCTTTCATTGGGATGTCTGTGCTCTTTGGTACATTTACTGTAGCTTCTCAGGAAAAATATTTTCTCTACATTTCTTCAGATGTATCCCTGAAATTGCGCAGCCTGCATAGCCAGCTTGTGGAGTGTGGGAACTGTAGATCAAGTATGCATTGTTGTGTCTCTCTGAAGATAAATCTATATCACTGTCTATATCTATCTATATCAATATCTCTATAGATATGCATATGTGTTTAGAGAGGGAAGAGAGAAGTGGCATGAAGAGTATCTGTGAGGGCTGGGTCTTAGTGCAGTTTTGTCCAAAAAGGTGCTCTCTAGATGGTTTGAATTATGTCATAATTTCTGGTCATGATAGCCAAAAGCTGCTTTACGGATATCTGTCTGCACCCATATGATGTGTGCATATGCCTGTCCCCTTGCTATCTGCACACCAGGATGAGAGATTAAAGGTATTGTGGGGCTTAGTTTGCACTAGGCCTGCATTCTGGTGTGCTCTTAATTCTCTAAAATGAGAACTGTTCCTGTCCTCATGCTTAGTACAGCTTTAGTGTGATCCAGCAAGAAATATCTAGCTCTGTAAGTAACTATACAGTATTGTACAGCATTGCCTATTTCTAAATGAAGTACTGCAGTCTGATTTGTCTTTGAACTACAGTTTCAGAGGATGCAGGGCTCACTGTAGTTTGCAGTCATTATATACTGGAAGTTAACTAGAGTAAAGAGTAATAGTATTTTCATACATTGCTACAGATTATTTTCTTTTGATTGTTTTCTTAAAGTACTGATTTAAGTAGTTTGTTCACATATGAGGAGATCAAGTTATGTGTTTTAAAGTTTATAGCTCATATTCATGACACTTAATAAAGGTTTCCTGAGCAGTTCTGGATACTGTGCTTCAAAACAAATTGGAATAGATTCAGAGGAGAGCAATGATGAATAGCAGTCCCGAAAACAAGGTCTATAAACATTTGAGAGAACTGGATATATTTAGCCTTGAGACAATTGATTGGCAGAAAAGGTATATGATAGCACTCTTCAAAGGACTACTGTATGAAAGAGAGCATTACTTTTTCTACTTTTAGAAATGCAGGACTTAATCTAACGGTACTAGGTTAGAGGACAGCTGATTGTGCAGTGAATATAAGGATAAATGTATTTGTAGTAAGAAATGATTGAACAAATTACAGCTGGGTGAGAGATTTCTAATCCTCTGCCTGTTACCAGGCAGATGTTAACAGCTATCTCTTGGGGATACCTTAACTTGCAATTTGCTGTATAGAATAGAGGGTTAGACTAAAGAGCATCAAAGGTCCTCTCCATGATTTATAAGTTTTCAACTGAATTTACTTTAGTACAACACATATCGAATAGTTATGGACTGGTCATTGACTGCAATAAAGATTTTGATTTGATTCTGTTCTGTTTAATTTCAAATAGTATTGATAGGAAATAGTTTTTATAGGAAAATAGTATTAATAGTCATAATAGTCATAAGTAGTAATAGGAAATAGTATTAATAGGAAATAGTTCAATTGGTTCTGATCCTGCTGGCCTTTAAAAAGGCTTTAAAAATGTGGTTATGTCCCTAAGTGTTGGGACCATGATGTGCAGGAAGAGAGTAGGGATGTGAGCCAGATCACATATTACTGATTATTACTATTACTGTTGATTGTTGTTTTATTTTGGTTGTTTTTTGTAAGCCATCCAGAGTCATGTTGTTTGATTTGGGGCCATATAAAATTTGTAAACAAACAAATAAGTAGAGTATTACGCTTCTGTTTCTTATTTGTGCTTCTCCATTTTAGTTTATATTTAGGAGAGCCTCCAAATGAAAGAAAAGCCTCTGCATATTTATTCAGGAGTAAAGCCCACATTGCTCAGTTGCTTTACTGAGATTTCAGCCTAACAGAATAAAGCTAAATATAGAGGTTACTTCTGAGTATATCTAGACCTTACATAGCATTACAGTCTTGTATAACTTATGATGGTTTGATAAACATCTTACTAAATTAGATGAGCATTGGTAATTTTACATATTGGATGAACAGAATATAAAGGGACAGTTATTGAATAATAGCGTAATTTTAGTGAATTAAAGAGACCAGTCATAAATTGAAAATAGGAAAACCTGTGGCTCTCCAGAGTTGTTGAGCACTTCCAGAATCTCTTTCTATTACCTTTGCTGGTTATCATTCAGT